ACTATAGCTGAGTATGCTTAACAGTTGTATGCTGAAAGATCGTGGAGAACGCGTTCGCTTAACACATTCATCTTCTGGAAACAAAACAGCTTCTTTGTGCAAATTAGCATGGTTTTAAGAGGTGCCTATCCACGGCTATACGCAACCTATTGAAATGGTTCACGCCTTTTCATGGGTTTTAATGAACATCAACAAATTAAGGTCATTTGCTTCGATTAAAAAACTTTTGACCAAGTTTAACACGGTAAGCTGCCTTCTAGCAGCGTGATGTTGGTGTAAAATAATGTCTAAAGTAGATGGGGGCGTATCTAAAAAGCGAAGGCAGTGGTGTGCGTTGGTAATCCCGTGCGAAGCTTTTTGAATGTACTTTCCGAGGTACCAGAGGGTTGGTACTAGGTACTTGATTGGTTTTAGTTTATTTTGACGATGTTGTCCAGCCGCCGGTGGTGTTGAAACTTTGCAGATGGCTGCTTAATTTACGTTCCGGTTACGTGTGAAAACAATTAGCGAAATGTAAGCTGGTGTCCTGAAGATCTTCATACGTGGTGAGAAAAATATTTTGTTGCAATTAACTACACCAAAAGCACTCTCGCACCTATTTTTCAAAAAAGACCATTCTTGATTTTCGATATCGTAAGGGCAGTGTAAATTAAACGAATTCTCTTGTTTTAGACATGTAGGTGTTGTGAAATCAAATAACCTTAACTGGCAATGCAATGTTCAAAAAAGCGTGTTCGTCGTACGAAAAGCTGTGTTTTCTTCATGTAAAGCTAAGTAACGCCACCGCAGACGTAAAGCTAATGATATGCAATACTTTTATGTGACTTTTTATAGACTATGCTGCTGAAGATTGGATTCCCCACCAAAAAGGCCTAATCAATTACCTTCAGGAATCCAGACATCCAGAATACAGAAGATTCGAAAAAACAAACAAGCAAACAGACTCAGTTACCCAGATGCTTAAGCTCATGTTAATTGAGATTCCGTGAGATTCTGTAATGTAAAATAAATATTGATAAAAGTATACACAAACGAGGACCTGGTAAAATAGGCAGAACAATAAATGAGAGCGCAGCCAATAATTCATATGCCGCATGCATAAACCTTCTTCGGTATTCGTTTTCCCCCATCATTATCGAAAAACAGAATGCACTACCTGTACATACTGCCGAGTGGACGCATGTAAAAGCTTTCGAAAATTTGCTTGATAATTATGTCAACTAAAATTAGTTGGAAGATGTGTTTATGCTTGCCGTTTTTTTTTTGGTTGTGTAACTTGTTGATAATTTTTTGTTATTGTTGGCATTTAATGTTATTTGAGTGGTTTTTATTCACAAATGGGTACTTTTATATACGCTTTCCCTGTAATCACCCACAAACGTGAGCTAACGGTATGCTCGAATAAATACTATAATAAGTTAATAAATAAAATAAAAATTTTACCACTAGTTTATTCGCTTGTTACCTAATTAGTGTACTAATACATCTACTACTAGTAATAGAACAATTAAAATCAATCAATTTATGTAACGTGGTTCGGAAACGACCTTAAGGTTTTGCGCAAGCGCACGCAAAAATAAAACAATAAAAAACAATAAGCTACAGTCTACAGAAAAAAAATCAAATAAAAAGAGCGTAAACCTACAGACAAAAAAACAGCACAAACTGGGAAGGATAAAAAACAAGACAAGAATCTTGGAATAGTAGTGAAAAATAAGCGGGATTCAACAACTATGTAGAAGTCTTCCTGAAAAATTAGAAAGGAAAGAATCTGTACACAATAAAAAACTATTTTAAGACAGTGAAAAACTGAGATAACGAATGAGAGTGGACTGTGAAAAACCTCAAGTCCATGAAAGTTAACATTATAAAGACTTTGTATTCTATGAGCAGTAGAGTGTTGAAAGAACTTGGCAGGTGCATGAAACAGTCGACTCTCTGGTAAACTTACCCGGAATTCGAAAATTTACACAGGTTAGAAACAAAGGACAATGTATCATATTTTAAACTAGTTTCTAAAGAAATTAGTTCAGCGTGATTTCTTCGACAGAGAAGTGAAGGCAAAGATAATAATCAAGCAGTGTTAGAATGAGATTCAGAGTTATTTCTAGCAAAACGATGAGCGCGATTGCTTGATTTTTTTCTGAATTCGCTCAATGGCGTCACTTACTGATTTAGCGATGCCGTTCCAGATCACATATGCACACTCCAGATGAAAAAGACATATTGTGGTGTACAATTTCTGAAAAGCCGTAGGTTAACTGAATTCTCGAGAGATTCTGCAAACAAAACCGAGAGAACGAAGGCTTCGCATGGCAGTATATGTTTCCTGTAAGCAAAAAAAAAAATTTAGCATGCTGTCAAAAAGAACACCAAGATTTTTGAACTCTTAAGCCTCATATACCGACTTGGTATTGAGAGAGTGCGAAATTGGCACGATGAATGTCTTGCGAAATACCCTCATAAAATTTTTCCTGAAGGCATTAAGGAAAATGTCATTGTTGTCACACCATTCAAAAAAAAGAAAACAAATCTGAGTGCAGCAAGCGACAGCCGTTAACCGAATGAGTTGCTCAAGAGGCTAAGGCACTTTTGAACTATAAAAACGCGTGTTCAAAGGCCAACACTTGAATATTACCATCTCTTTTTGTTGACATATTTTTTCTCTGTCATGAGGTCTGTAGGAGGAATAGAACAAGTTTCCTCAAGTAGGGACTTGATGCCTCAAAGGTGTAGACTCACATTCAGCGCCACCAAAAAAAAAAACGTGTCCGGAGACAGCCAGGCCCGAGCTAAAAGTGGTTGTATTTTCCCACGCTTTACGGACGCGGTTGATTCCGGTTTTGCGGGACTATTTACATGGGAAAATGTCAGGCACTTCCGTAGACCATGATAAAAACGGCATGTATACCCATTGGGCTCGACCGAAGAGAAGCCGCCCTTCTTCATCGCTTATGGCTAGGAGGGGCATTAAAAAAATCTTATTTCTTTGTCATAAGAATGGCCGACAACGCTCTCTGCGATGCCTGTCATTGCGAAGAAACGCTACACCACATCCTGTGCGACTGTCCGTTATATGACATTCAGAGACAGTCACTGGCGTCCATTCTTGCGTGCATCGACAACTGCTAATTGCCTGTGGACACTATTCTGTCAAGTGCCCGAGCAAAGACATTGCAACAGAAGGCGACAAAAGCTCTGCTGAAATTCCTACGCGACACGGACTTGAACAAGCGGCTGTAACAGCAATGTCACACACTGCGAAAGACAAGACTAGACTATGACTGAGTGTGCGCGCGTGTGCTGCCGAATGGGCTGTGTTTATCTCTCTTCTCTCTATGCTCTCTATCTTTCATCTCCCCCTCCCATGCGCAGGGTAGCAAACCAGCTGCCTATAGGCTGGTTAACCTCCCTGCCGTTCTTTACCTCATATTTTTCTTCCTTCTCAGGTGTATCTTCTGAGAGAAAACTATCAAGAGGAAGAAATCGATGCTCTCTTGTCTCCGGGTGAAGAGGTTCGACGGCGGGTGCCCTTTTCCTCCGAAAGAGCTAGCATGAGTACGTCAGCTGCTGTCGAAATGTTGACTTCTACCTTGATTGTTCATCTGTCTCTCTGTATGTCTGGCGACGAGCACGAGCCACCGCAGCCCTTCGCACCCACCTCTCTGCTTTATCCATGCCCCACCAACGATCGGGCACGTACGGCGACGGTTCAAGAGCATCCATGCCCAACCAACGACCCGATATGCACGGCGACGATCCAGGCGACTGAGAGAGGCACTCCTTCCCCGCGCACCCAGGCATAGCCCGCGAAGCAGCCATTGGAGAATAGTGGTACAGCAACGTCTAGAAGATCCTCACTCAACTGCAGTTTGTGGGCACTTTTATGAGAATCGCCATCTATTATACTGTTCGGGAGATACTGCCGGTTACGCCTGACGTGGGACATGGTTAGACCAAGAGGAGCTTCGCTCTTATTAATGCACAATTGGAACTTTAGCTGGCTCTCGACAACGCGGTCATACAAGTGGCGATGCGGGCGATATGAGATGGGAGCGTGACCAAAGAATTCCACAACGCACCCTGCAAAAGAACGTGAATTCCGCCACACTTTTTTCTCTGCAGCTGTGAGTGCGAGGGCCTCTCCTTAGATTTCCTTTCTCCACATACCTCTGATAGTGCGCGCAAAAGGTAGGTGCGCCATCTGAGAAGTCGTGACTGGGCGAAGCTCAAGCCGTCGAGTGCGCTCATGAAATCGCTGCGAGTGCTGGGTGTGCCAGCGTGTCTCATGAGTTGAGGAGGCAATGCATTGGTGAGAAGAAGGGTTGAGATGTGATTGTCCGTTGCGGTTTTGGTAGGAAGTGTGTTGGTACGTTTGTGGTGCAAACGAATTGACGATGTTCTAGGCTAACACTTACAGAACTTCAAAACCACACCAGGTCCCAGTAAATGAGACGAACTGCATACTTTTATATTCAAAAACACATGAGAACCCTAATGGTGGAGTCGCAGAGCTACCAAAAAAAGATGAAAACCAAATCAGTACCCTACGTTGTGTCACTGAAAAGAGATTGAAAACCGGAAACTGACTGAGTATGGCCTCGCCATCTAAAACGGGATTTGAACACGTGATCCGCGATGCACTGTTGTATACTGACTCTATTTTCTGTTTCCAATAGCGAAGGCTTGATCACTGGCAGCAGCCAACCAATACGCAACGCGCAGAGGCTTGTCAAGCACTTGTAAATCCCGAAGTTTATATAGGGTATGTTATGCAGAACGGGACGCACATGTTTCAAATATTGTCACAGCTGCTAAAATTTGACCACGCTTTTCTAAGCAGGAAATGCAAATCTTTTGTCCATTGTTTCAAGAAATTGGGTAGTTATGTTCACGTTTGAACAATGTACCTCATAATGCGTCATCCACGTCGTTATTGTAAGGTGGATTACGCACAAAATATATATCTTCGTGCAGCCTCCTGTTCACGGCAAAAATAAACATGCTTTGTCTGGCATTGCGTGCTATAGGACGGGTGGTATAAAAGAAAAGAAAGAATCGACGAAGGAGTAACTTGGATGCTAACGAGAAACATAATTTCGAACCGTTTGAGGTGAGCAGTATTTTTTCTTTATTTTTCTTTTTAAATATAGGTAGTCATCACATACTCTCAGAGGATGATATCCCCAAGCATTTCTTCAAAGTGTTGAGTCTATAAATATGCTGCTCATGTTATCCAGCCAAGGCTACACGTTATTGGGTCTTCAAGGAATGAGGCGGACTTTGGTTCAGGGCTTCCTGCAGTACATTTCAACAGGTTATGTTCTTGAGCTAGTTAGCGCATTATTAAGGAAGGCAGATCTGGCTCTCTGAAGACAGGACCAAAGTGCTTTGGTCGAACAAGTGCCAAGGAAGCGGAAGCCCCTGCAACAGGAAGCAAAGCACGGACACAGCTTCAGTGGTCGATAATCTCGTCAGCTGCAAAACGCATCGGCATTCACACATGTGGTATCGAACAGTAAAGCGTTCTCGCTGGTGGCCGCTTCTGTTCGAGACATAGATCTGGGGTTCTGTTTTCATTTTTGCGCTGAAGCCAAACGAATGGTCCTAAGAACGTAATCTGCAATGCTCCCCGAGATTTGTGCAAGGAATTATCTACACGTGCAGTAGGCCTCTAACACCAAACTTGGAAAGAAAAGAGTGTGTGATGTCACCCCCCTCTAAAAAAGCATCACATCAATTCTTAACAGAAACAGGAAGTACAATAATGAGGTAAGAATTGCAATGAACAATAGGCACAAGCAAGTAGGCACAATGATAAACGAAAAAAACATACAGCCCTCAGGTTGGCTGACGTGCCTGATATGGCCTGAGATGTACGAATTGGGTTACTCAATTGACGTCACGAATGGCGAAATTGATAGTTTTTGATGCTGTCCGCGATATCCTCATGATGTAGAGCTCCGACACGTCGAAGCCCCTGTCGATGTTTCACAGAAGGAGCTTTTCACTGAGGCCTTGCTGGCATGTGGGTATCCAGAACCACACATGGTCATCTGGTTCTATAGTGACATGTGGCGTCGTCGAAGGCTGTAGCTGTGGCTGTCGGTGTTTTGTTGGCAATGGATGCGAAGAGGGGCTAGTAGTCGGGCATTTACGGTGTGATGAACTTTCATGGTGGCGTCAATGTTCTGAAGGCCCATGATGGCGTCAATGTTCTCTTCGTCGGAGACAGCGTCAAACCTAGCCGGTGATCCTTCCGTAGATGAACTTGTACTACACCATTTCCACCATTTCTTCCACAAGCATGTTGTACGGGAAGGTTACATACAGAAGGACGGCATCGCACACCTTGCACTTGATGTCGACGTACAATACGTGCCACTCTCAGAGAAGCCCCACCGCGGTGGTCCAGTGGCCAAGGTACTGGGCCACTGACACGCAGGTCGCGTGGTCAAATCCCGGCTGCAGTGGCTGCATTTTTGATTGAGGCGATAATGCTGTAGGACCATGTGCTGCGATATGAGTGCACGTTAAAGAACCCCTGGTGGTCTTAAATTCTGGAGCATACCACTACAGCGTCTCTCATAATCATATGGTGGTTTTTGAACGTTAAACCCGACATATCATCAGTTTTAGAGGGAACATGCAAACACAAAGCCAGCGGCCCGCGTGACCCGAACCTGCCTGAAGATCGTGGCAAGATTTGTAAACGTGCTTACCGGCACTTCCTTCGCAGAACAGGACTGACCACGCTGGTGCAGCACTTGGTCACTACCTGCCGTGACTACAGTGATTAGCGTGGCAGATGCTTATCAAGGCACTAAAGCAGTGCTTGGCGGGTTACGTCTGCTGCTTCCGCTCACGCGCTTGCCGAGTGCTTCTTTTTCCGCGCCGAGATTTGATCTGCCGCTGGTTGGCCGGCGCCTCGCCAGGTAATCAGCAGACACAAAAAAGGTGACACTTGTTTCTTGCCGTATGTTTCTTATCAGTTCTGATACGACACGATTCACGCCCACAGTGACTGAATTTTGATTAATAGAGAAATACAAAGAAAAGGTGCTTTTCAAGGTGGTTTTCATATTAATAAACACCTAATATTAATCACTGGGGGAGGGAGGTTGAAATTACAGGTACACAATGTGATTATGGGAGTCGACGTAGTGGAAGGCTCCAGAAATTTCAAACACCTGGGGTTTCTTAACGTTCACCTAAATGTAAGAACTCGCTCGCTGAACTCTGTGCCGACCGGTTTTGCCCTCGTTATCTCCGATGACAGCGCAGCTCTGGCCAACTGGGTTGGCCCTACGCCAACTCCTGCTGCCGGTCCCGCACGACGACGACAGCGCAGCTCCTGCATTCTCCTGTCGCCGACAAGAGCTCTCGCCAGTGGTGCCCGTCATCGGACTCCTGGGACCGTGTTTCATCTTTCCTATCTCTGTTCTGTCGTCGCTCGCTGTCCCTGCACATCTCTGTCTCTCTCTCTCTAACTTTAATCCTATTCTTTTAATTTCTCCTTACCCCCATCCCTTGTGAGCTACTGTTGAGGTGTCGCACCTGATGCAGACAGTTACGGGGCTCACTTTTCTCTTCTTTTCCCTTTTATAACCACAATCTAAGTGCACGGGCCTCGAACATTCCCACTTGCAACGATAACGTGACCGCCGCGGTTGGGTTCAATCCGTTGACCTTCAGGTTAGCCGTAGAGAAACTCGAGAATACCGTGGCGGGTAAAGAAAACACTTGATGATGCAATCCGTTTGAATTAGTTCAATACGAAAGTTGCAATGGGGGTTTTCCGGTAATACTTGTTGAAAATACAGATATTACTTGTTGATAATAGCGCTTGTATTAAAAGCTTTCCAAAGGATCGTCACTCAAGAAGCTTGGTTTTTTACGTACGCGGCAATTCTGGGTATTATCTGTTGAAGTTTGCTTTAGTTTGATTACATTTTTGGGCATTTATATCAGTGGTACTACCTCCTTATATATGTGCCTGACGGTTATGGCTTGAAAAGCTATCTGAATTCGAAAATAAATAAAGAAGTTGTTGCTAGTAGCACTCAGTCCTGTCCACCTGTGGCAACCTGTAAATTTCCATATTTCGCCTGACGCTAAATAAAATTCTTTCGATACGGTGTGATCCCTAATATTATTCTGACACTGGTTTGCTATATTCAAGCAAATATTAGTTTAACGTTTGAAAATCATGAGGTTTCGATCATTGAAGCAAAATATGTAGAAGCGCCATATTTCAGATATGCGATAAGAAACCCTTTTACGGAAAGTGTTGCACCTCGCTTACATGTGTGTGCAAAAAAAATCGCGTGCGTAGAACTGTACATCACAATAAGCGAGGAAGGGAAAATTTATCCGCCATATTTTTGCGAGAAAGATCAACCAGGCCAGATCTACAGCCTCTTCACATGAGAGTGGTGCAAAGCTTCGTTTTGTATCGGGCGATGTAACCCCCTGATTTAAGTAAGGCCTTCATCCTGGCAAGAAGACACCTGTAAAGCGGGTCCATGAAGTATGAACTACACTTAAGGTGCTACCACGTGTTGTTTACAGAAGACCACAGGCCATGGTCATTCGCAGATTTTCGGTGGATACTTGGGCGAGAGAGACAATTTGTTTCAGCTTCGCACGTTATTCACAATGTTCAAGTGAGATGGCTGCGGGGGCCTGATGAGCGCAGCCACTTGACACTGCAGTAGTACGTAGTCTACCCTTTTGGCAAAGCGAACCGGCGCGCGATCGTGCTGTAAACTGCAGGCATGCTGCGATGTCATGGGACTGGTCGTCAGTTGAAGGCCGACTATGGTCACAATATTGTTATATTTGTCTGCTGTGAGGTGGCTCTGTATGCAGCCCTAAACACTTACCACAGCTCATGCACTTGCTGCTACTCACTGAACAAACTCGGGCTGAACCTATAATATCAACACACATGAACAGAAAAACAATGTTTCAGAAGGCTGTATGAACCGGTACCATTGTTTTGCAAGGTAGATGATATCAAAACGGAAGGAACTACAAAACATCACACCAAACTTAACATTATTGATACAAAATCAACCGTTTGACTCTCGGCAGCAGACACCTTCATATTTGTGGTGCAAGCACGCTTTACAAATCCCACATATGGCTATATGGATAAGTGGTGTAAGAATGCTGAAGAAATTTTGAACATGGCTCTTAGGTGAGGTGCGTATTTTTTTGTGAACTCTGACCAGTTAGAACTGAAATAGCCAGTTTGCTTTACAATAAACATTTCAGCAAAGTTATGAAACTGGAGATGACTGAATACCATTCAAACATACCTAGTTCTACTTGGTCGCCAGACATTAGCACTCTGGTCCCATTCTGTAATGGAGGTGCATTGTCATGCCAGTAGTCAGCGGACGCCGCTTCCTGCTGCTAGGAAAACGAAAGGAGCTTTGACTTCTTCTCGTTTGTCAGAAGCTGCTTTTGCACTGCCATCCTGCTCTTGATTCCTTATTCAGCCAGTCGTCGTTACACAGTTCTTTTGAAAGGAGTCAGTGGAAAGCACTGGCGTATTTCATTAGCTGAAGCCCATAGCTTGGTCAGCTACGCTGGCAAGAGTACTCATATCTTCTTTCTGAGTTGTCACCCATCACTTTGGTTTCCGAAGGGCGTCCATGATTCTCATCTAATCACTGAAAGCTTGGGTAATTCTGTTAACTGTCTTTAGTGGCCTGTTTACCGTGGAAGCGACAGCATGCTGTACTTTTTAGTGTACAGATTCCCTATGCCAAGCCTTTCATCACCAGGTACCCTGGTCATGGCACAGCTAAGTGTGAACACCACCAAAACTCCTTTGAGCAAAAATTACGCTCCCAACTGTGAAATTCTGAGAAACTGATAACGGATCCCATCACTTGTGTAAGCTACTGTCAATGCTCACCAAAAAGTTATTGGTCATCTCTGCGCAAGCGCTGAAGCCAGCCTGTTGCTTTTGATAACAGACAAGAAAAATTTTGCTTCACGCAGCGAGCGTAAGGAGCTTGCCCTCCCGCCTACTGCAGCCTAGCAGGACGCTAGCGCACGCTTAGCGCTAAGGCAGGGAAGTAGCAGACGACAACGGCCACA